ACATTATTAATACAAATTTTCCAATGTTTGTTACGTGGGTGCAGTAGTTCTGGAAACATGCTTCCAAAACTACATATCCCAATATCAGAAAATTGAGTTTTTAGAATATTTTATAGGTAATTCCCTATAAATTTTCTATCGGGCTGTATTCGGAAAAAGCATGGACAAATGCGCCCGATAGATAGGTCTCTATGTGGTATTATAAGCAGGGAGTAATAGTGGAAACCGTATACGTATATTGCATACATGTATTGACATATCAAATTTTGTGAAGATGAATGCTTATGTACACTACAGTGATTATTTAGTCCCACATATCAGTATTTGTCATTCAAATAACAAATTTGCAGAAAAAATATTGCGCTCATAAATGAAAAAATATATACCTAATTAATTCTTACCTTTTTTATTTTGCAAAGCTATTTTCTTTCTATATTTGGGATGTGAGGAAGCTATTATAGGTTTAAATATTTCAGGAGGTAAAGTAAATATGGATCTATCATTTATATTAAAATCCGAGGGTAAAGATAATCTAGGAACTTTAATATTTAAGTCTCCCCTTGATTCCAATTTGGCACGCTTTTCAGCAATCTTCTTCAATAAACGATCTCGTTCAATATTTCTTCCAGACATCTAAAATGAATAAATAAATTTATGAATATGTTCCAATTATTATTTTTTAATTATGACAACTCATCAAAAATAGCATTAAAATGTACTTATTTAAATTAATTCGGAAAAGACATTTCTTTTGTAAAAATTAGTAGAGATGGAAAAATTCCCATTTGACGAAAATTCCCGGAAACTTTCCATCGAAAATTCCCGAAATTTTCCGAAAGTTTCAAAAAAAATTTTTTTATTGCGAAAATATTTTTTTATGCCAGGGATTTGCAAAAATATATAACAAATTAACTTTTTGTCAAATTTTTGGTTGCATTAACGACATAGATTTTCTTACAGAACTTGCTTTGAGCATGGTCTTTTTTGTTTTTTTGCACTATTTTGTAATAATTCCAAACACTAGATTTTTCTCTTGGCATTGTGCTATCATTCTTAGGTCGCCATTTTTATTTACAATTTCATTGTTTGCAATTTTTGTGCTTTTAGTTTTGCTGTTTTTATATGAATTTGTAATAGTTGTTTGGTTTTGCTTTTTATTGTGTATTAGGTAGATATATTATATTAAAATTTTGCTAAACATATATGTATACCTAGGTATACCTACTTTCATAATGAATATTAATAATTGTTTGCATAGATTTTAATGTTAATTAATATTTTTAAAAAAATTCTTGTCAAATAATGTCTAAAACTTTTATTTTTATTAAGAACCAGAAACAACCATTTTTACTTCCTAAAATAATAATTAATTTCTGAAATTCATTGATTAAAATACTCTTGTCAAATTTCAGTTTACTTTAAAACTAAATATAACTATTTCTATTTCCTAAATAATAATTTATTAAAAGATTTCTCCTTTTGTCAAATCTTATAATGTTTAAAAACATTTGCACTTTCTTTAAAACTTAAAAAGAAAAAAAATTGTTTACTTCTTCCATGCAGAATTACTATTTTGGGTAATTTAAATTAACGGCGGCAAATAAATCAAATATGGCGGTAGTGGGATGTGCGCATAACAGAGCGCATAACAGTACCGATTTTCGTTCGTATTTTAAGGAGATTGAACAGACCTTGTTGTGTGGATTGTGTTGGGTGGATTGTGGTATCATGGATACTTCTTTAGCGTATAGTATTGAACATATATTTATTTTCAATATCGTCCATAACATATAAGTTTGCCAACACTGCAATGCAGTGACTGCATTAAAGTTAGGTAAAGTCTACTGCGCCGGGATTGTGTTGGGTGGATTGTGGTATCATGGATACTTCTTTAGCGTATAGTATTGAACATATATTTATTTTCAATATCGTCCGTAACATATAAGTTTGGCAACACTGCAATGCAGTAACTGCATTAAAGTTAGGTAAAGTCTACTGCGCCGCCGGCGCTTTTTATTGCAGCACCGCCCTTGCCGTCAGTGTTGTTTGTAAGTGTAGACTGTATAAAATACATAACATAACCTATGTACAGTGTTGGCAAACATTGTACACTGTACAGAGGTTATGTTATATACAGCCTGTTCAGAATAAAACCGAATATATCTATATACAGACTGTATAGAATCAAGTAAGTAAGGCTGGAGACAAGGATGACAAATTATATTCTGATCAGAGAAAAAGAAACAAACTTTAATTGGGCGTGGTTTAAACCAAGCCATTCGTAATTACGAACCATAGTTGCCAGGTTGTTTTAAATCAGAAGAGAAAGATTATAGTCGTTTTTTCGCGTAAATACCATGAAATACTATGGTTATTAAACTTAACTTTGGTTAATAGTTAAGGCATTTTTGCGTTTAGAGTGCGTTCAAAAATCCTAACTATGACGTCACAAATACCAGACCCAAAAAACTATATCCTGAGCTAGTTATTCAACGTGGTTAATAGTCTTTCTCTTTTTAAACTATATCCTGAGCTAGTTATTCAACGTGGTTAATAGTCTTTCTCTTTTTAATATATATTTTTCTGTTTCGATCTGTCAAAAAGTTGTTTACATTTGAAATTTAAAATATTTTAAGTAGGTACAATTGCTCTTAAACCGAATTTAAACTTTGTATTAAAATGGTAAACGGGGTGTTGTCAGTGAAAATAAATGATTGGGTGCTCCATATTGTGGAATCTCCACAAGAAGTGGAGGAATTATATGCAGGTTTGTTTTATATTCTTCCTTATTTTGTATTAAACATGTAGGAGAATTGGATAACGTGTATTGAAAAAACTAGTATAGAAAAAGAATATACTAGGTATAAGAGGCAAAGAAATTTATTTACACCGGTAAAAGCATAGAAATTAAATATAAATAGGTAAAAACACATTTCAAAAATTATAGGTTATGAACAAGTAAACAATTTTCAAATGTTAGAAACCTAACCATGGTTATATGAATTAACTGTGACGTCACGACTTATTTAACCGTAGTATTACATAGTATTTACGCGAAAAAACGACTTATAATTATTTAATAAATAGTTCAATTTTATTTGTTTGAAACATTAAAAATAACAAAAAAATTAATATGTCAAAAATAATTTGATTTAGACAATTTTCTTACTTTTAATATTAAAAAATAAGAAAAACAATCCTTTTAGGAAACAATAATAGCATATGGCAACAGCGCGGCATGCAGCCATGTTTGATCTACTCACAATCCACACAATGTGGATTGTGTGGATTGTGGATCTACTGTGTTTGTTCAGTAGGTCCGACGCTGTTGTAGGGAAATGTGTATAGGTTTTAAGAAATACATTTTCGCCATTAACTGGAATTTAATGGATTTTAAACAATACATAGTTTTTATTTGCAGAAATGCATTAAAACAAAACTAGCGAATTCGATAAAAATAAAACCTATAAATTCTCAAACAAAAATAATTCAATCCCTACCACAGTGGGCAGGGTTTGGCACTTGTTTTATTTAAGTGCACTTAAATAAAACAAGTGCCAAACCCCGCCCACTGTGGTAGGGATTGAATTATTTTTGTTTGAGAATTTATAGGTTTTATTTTTATATATACATGTATCTATTCGTTTTAATACACACTATATATATATGGGGCGTGGCCTCGCCTCCCTCCAAGGCGCGTCACAGTTGCTTGTGTGATAAACGACATGACGAAAGGTCGAGCAGGTAAGGACTTAAAAAATTAAATGATAATAATGCAAAAAATCTCATTAGCGATGCAGTCTATTTGCTTAGCTACTGTGTCGCGCGTTGGAGGGAGGCGAGGCCACGCCCCATATATATATAGATATATTCGGTTTTAGTCTGAACGAGCTGTATTTTATACGCCGTGTCTAGAGTCCCGTCAGACGGTTCTCTATTGCGCTCCCGTTAACAGAGTGACGTCATCCAATGACGCAATCTTAAGACGGGAAGCAGATCTTTTTTCCTTAACCAACGTCCCGAGTCCGCCCGCTTCGAAACCAACTCAAACCCAACCCAACCGACCCCGCCCCATTGCCCCCCCCCCGCCCCATTGAGTAAAAATTTTTCAACGAAGGAATATTCATTTAATTACATTTTATATTATTATTAAATTAAAATATTAATGTAAAATTGAATATAAATGCTTTTAAGGCCACATTGTATTATTTCGGTATATAAATTCTTTAAAAAAAATTAAAAAAAGTCGTAGAGGCACCAAGTATCGAACCCCGTATCTCTCGCATGCAAAGCACGCGCCCTTCCATCGAGCTACCGAGCTTAATGTAAAAATCCTATCGCTCGAAGAATAATACCGATTTACAGTGTGTGACGTCACAAAGTGTTAACGGGAGCGCAATAGAGAACCGTCTGACGGGACTCTAGACATTATGTATTTTATATGGTTATTTTCATGGCACTAGAAAACTTATACCATGGTTATGTTGTCCAAAGCTTTTTTCATACAAAATTTTAAAGGCAATATCTAAATGTGGTCCACATTAAAGCCTGAGTGTTTTCCTTTTTTTCTCCCTTCCTCCCGTAAAAGATTAACAATACGAAAGCGTAGTGCCGTTTATAGATTCCCGTACGGGATTGTATTGTTCATCTTCTACGGGAGGAAGGAAGGAATTCCTTAAGGCAATCTATAAATCAGTCCTAAGCCAATTTTTTTAAGTTGGTAAGTTTTATTTGTAATTCTAAATTTATAAGGCATTTTACTGTTCATTCATTCATTAATTTTAGGTAAACGATGGGTTTGATCCACAAAACACACCTTCTAGTTTTGTGGTTTGATCTCATTAATGTCAGAGTATCAATTGGTGAAATGTGTGAAATAAGAGATGAAAGTTTTTTACTCCAGAATATATTTTTAAATAAAATGACAAAAATCTTTAAAATTTTAAAAGCGATGCCGGCGGCGCAGTAGACACTTTGTTATGTCATAAATTTTAGGTTAACTTTCCTAACCAAGAATATTTATTTTCATTTTGTTGACTTGTACAGAAATATTATATTTAAAAATGGTATGTACTTACATTAAATTACCATATAAATAAAATTATGAACCCATCATTTTACATCCAATATTGTAGTATTATGTAAAATTATATCTTTATATATTTTATAGGCAATATATTTATAGGTAACTATTTATTTGTCATGACAACAGTTTCTATTCATTGATTTTTATTAAAATGTTTAATTAGGTTACAAATTATTGTATTAACATGATACTGTATAAATATAGTTTTACCATTGTTGCAATTATAATAATTATATTATCTATTCAACAGCTTCTTTCGAAAACAATGTCAAGATTTTTCTCTACAACAAAAGCGGGGTTCGCGGCAGAAAAGTCACTTCTGGCATCCTTAAGAAAAAAAACAGGATATACTTTTTCAAATTGCAAAAAAGCACTGGATATGCATAATAACGATGTGATTAAGGTATTTAATGTTTTATTTAATATTAATTAGTTGACATTTTTCCCTAAACTTTCTACCTATGAGTATAATACAACTGACTCCTCTAGTATCAAAACCCCTTAAATCCGTTGGAATAAAAATGAGATATATGCATTAAAATATTCCTACCTATCAATGTGTGTATAGAAATGGTTGCATGGCTTTTTCAACCATTTGAATGCACAAATTGATAGGTAGTATTAATGCATGGTTCTGATTTTTCATCAAAACGGATTTAAGGGGTTTTGATAATAGGGGATTCAACTTAACTAATATTATTAATAATATTAATTATCTAGATGTCAATAGTATATTGTAAAACGAGTTTTAAAATGTCCCTTATTGTGATACCGAGTTATTTTGCCGCAAGACCGCCAAGCGGAGTGCGGCAATAGCACGAGTATATCAATAAGTCATGGGAACATGAGTTTTTCATACTATTTTGAACATAATAATTTTCGACCATATTAATTATGATAAATTATCTATCAATGAAATTAAATAAATCTTTTAAAAAGCAAGTATAATTCATGTTACTAGGTTGGCACCATAGATAATAAATCATGGTTGACACCATGGAGCCTACACAAGGAGTACGAAATTCATGTAAACAAGAATCTTCCTAAGATAAGAGGGCGCTGTTGTTCCGTTTCTTCTGAAACAATTGACTAATTTCTACCGAAACGCTACCAAAAGAGCAGACGTCAGTACGCATCGACAATCAGCGCCGCTGGTGGTGTAAAAAAAAGACTTATTTGTGGAATTTAGAGGGCAGGTTTTGACAATTTTCCCTGTTAAGTTCGGGCTCCTTGTCTAGGCTCCATGGTTGACACAATCGACGTGAAGCGAAATGTCAAAATTAAATATTTAATGTCAGTCAATATAAAACGTCAAATTTTGTTTTTGTCTATTTTGATGCTTTTAAGAGCCAGACACAGTTTACTTTTACATCTAATGATTTTATTCACATTTTATAATATAATTTTTTCTACAACCAAGCGCAAAGTACAAATTTGCGCTTCCAAAAGAAAGCGCAAAGTTGCACTTTTCCGAGGTGCGAGCATTTTTTTACTTTGTCGCTCGCTTAGTTACCATGGAAACCATAATAAAGAAACATTTGACACAAACGTCAAATTTGAGGTTGTCAATAATTATTAATTTTTACCAAACATTCTTATAGAAACACGGGTTGTAGAAAAAATTCTGTGTGTAATTCGAGCGCAAGTTGCCGCTCTCGCACAGATATGTGTGTTCTTGGTTACATATCTACGCTGTTGAACACAATTTAATTTTTATTCTTACGCTAACGTCAAAATAATTTTAATTTTATTTTAACGTTAACTTCGTATATATATTTACTTAACGAAAAATATAGATTAAAGCCTTTTGGTTTTTGGTAACCTAAGGCTGCCAACTTTGCCCAGAGGCGGTTTTAGAAAGTGACAAGGGAGAGAGAGACGATTCTTTAAATAGGAATTTCGGTCAACAATTTAGATGCGCAGGGATGCACACAGATTTCAATGTAAATCGGTTTCTGCGCATTTGCTGGCAGCAATGCACTGAAAAGACGCTATTATGTTCTTTACTGTCGTCTGTCAGTCTGCTGACAGGTCAGTAAATACTAAAAGTGGCAGCAGACTGGCAGACGACAGTAAATGACAGTAAAGAACATAATAGCGTTTCTGTGGTTTTGTTTATAAGTTATTATACACAAGGATGTATTATCTTTGTTATACTTAGCAGATTGTCAATTGTTGTAAAATGACATTATTTAAGTAAGTAAATTAAAATATGTAGGTATGTGTAATAAATGTTTTTTGTGTTGTTAATTAAGTTCTTGCTTTCGTGTTTATTTCATATAATTAATATTTTGATATTTTTACATTATTTTATTTTAGTCTATAAATCGTGTTTATTTCATATAATTAATATTTTGATATTTTTACATTATTTTATTTTAGTCTATAAATTATTTGTGTTCAATGTTATTTTTGTTTCTGTTTTTTATTTGTTTACATGTTGTAAATACAATAATTTTAATTTTAATGCTATTTTTATTTTTTTCAAACATAATATCTACCAAAGATCCTACTTTGTAATTGAATCGGTGAGAATAAGAACAGTACAAGTCCAAAATAATTATTTTGAAAAATTATTTTTTTAAATCAATTTAAAAGTTTAAAATGAATTTGTGTGAGAAGATTTATATTATTTTATAAAATATGATTATTTTATTTTATAAAGTAGATGGTTGAAATATTTTCACAAAAATGCATTTTGAACTGTAAAACTGAGTTTATTAAATAATTTGTCAAATTTTTTGGGCTTACGGTTCTTAATCTCACCGATTCAATTGTAGCAAACAAAAATTAAATATTTAAAAATACCGCGCAGAATTTATTTAGTGTTAGTTCTCGCAGCCCCCGGCTAGGGCGCCATATTTATTGTTTCCAATGTTTATATGGAAATCGTTTGTCTCTGCCTTGTCTCTGGTTTTAAACATCCACTTTGAGGGGGGGCAAAAATAGAAAAAAGCACGTGTGTAGTGGTAATCAGTAATCACAGTTTAGCAGTTTTGACTGATCACAATTCCGCCGACATTATTTTATTCAACCGCCACTGACTTTGCCAAAGCTGAATCCTGAACAAAATTAGATTTGACTAAAGAGATTCTTTTACTGAAGAAAAAAAATACATAAAAATTTCTAAATGTAGGTAAGGGGTCGTTCATTAATTACGTGAGACAATTTTGGCGATTTTTCGACCCCCCCCCTCCCCTTGGTGAGATGTCGTGGGATTTTGCTCGACCCCCTCTCCCCCCCTTAATCTCACGTGAGATTTTTTAAAATGCATGGTTTTAATGTAAATAAGTTAATCTGTGCTTGATTCCATTAGATTTATTAAAAAAAAACAATTTGCTTATAATTGTTTACTTAATTTAACCCAGTTTTCTCGCAATTTTACACTCTTTCTTTCGGAAAAAAAAAATTACGTGATATTTGCCGAGAGCCCCCCTCCCCCCCACGTGAGATTTGGTGAGGTTTGGCTCGACCCCCCTCCCCCCCCCCTAAACACCTCACGTAATTAATGAACGGCCCCTAACAAAAAAATTATACAAACATAACCCAATAAAAAACATTGTAACATTATGCTTTTCTTTTAAAGTTGTACTTTTTGAAGCTGGGGCATTCCACGATACTTGGAATTTTGGTCCCGCCAGTCACAATTAAAAATTGTGAGTAAAAACCACAAAATATTAAATTTATTTTGAAATATTGTTTAATATGCTTGTAATAAGCTTATAAGCATAATAAACATAATATTATAAAATATTCATTTTAAAACGTGTGGTTTTTACTCACAATTTTTAATTGTGACTGGCGGGACAAATACTCCCGAGTAACATGGAATGTCCCAAGTTGGGACTCCCAACTGTGCTTTTTAACAAGATTTGGATTTTGAAAAAATCTTAAGATAATCTCTGGATATGGGAGAAATTAACGCTTTAAGAGTCAATCTGGGACTTGCGGGATATAATTGGATAGCGTTTATCGGAAAGGAACCAAGCGCCAAAAACTTTTTCTGAGGTAAACAAAATTATTTGCAAAATAACTTATTTTTAATGCTGTTTAAAAAATTAATAATGATTTTGAAACCCTCTCAATCCTTTTAAGAAATGTTCCAAATGAAGATCAACCTTTTGAGCATTATTAAAAATGAGTTATTTTACAAATAATTTACTAAGCCCAGAAAAAGTTTTTGGCGATTGGTTCCTTATCGATAAGCGTTATCCAATTAATGTTTGCGGGACATTTTTAAGCATCATATAAAATGCAGGAACGTTAACTAATTAGTGCTATTGCGGAACTATCCCACCCGGGGTGGGACAATAATTCTGTAAAACATAACTATTCAAAACAAACAAAATATCCAGGTTCTTAATTTTTTACTTTTATTAGAAAAATCTAATTTGTTTATTTCCAAAAATTTAAATTTTAATACACAACAAAAAGTCCCACTGTGATATTCAAAAAAGGAATGCAGTCATTTAATTAAGGTTATGTATCTGTCAGTTTAACGGTTATTTCGTTAGCCCTGCTAGCCGGTAGTAAATTTCTTCTGAGAAAATCCTTACGCTGAGCTTGGGTCCAAATATTTCCATCTTAATTTTTTTAGGTACTGTTAAAACGCAATGCATTTTTGATCATTGTTTACGTTTTAATATTATGCATAGGTGTGATTATTTAAATATTTAACATTGGTTTAAAACCTATAGTTATGGTTAAAACGGACGCGTTCTGTCCAGTAAGTAGGTATACAGTAGGGCTGTACAATTTAGCCGGTTAAGCCGGCTAAAAAAGTTAGCTAAGTTAATTAGCTACCTAACTGATTAGCTTAGATAATTTAACCGGTTAACTAAATTAGCTTAGCTAATTAGGTGGCGGCTTAACCGGTTAATCTGGCTTAGCCCAGCTAATTAGCCGGTTAGCCGTTAGTCTCAAACTTAGGAAATATATTAATCTTTAATTTAAATTGTTTATTTAAGGCCGAAGAGTGGTTAAAACAGCAAGCTCAAGCACTGGGTTGGTCAAAGGCAACTAAATTGGAAGGAAGACAGACTACCCAAGGGTTAATTGGAGTAATCACTAATCGAAATCATGGAGTTCTTGTTGAAGTAAATTGTGAAACGGATTTTGTTGCAAGAAATAAAGAATTCCAAAAGATTGTGGAAGAGACCGCCATAACATGTTTAAGTTTTATAAATCAACAACCGTTACAAAAACCATTTATAAAGGTGAGTAAAATAATAAAAATTCAAAACTACCCATAAAAAAAGTATTTTTTGTACTTAATTTTTTTTTAATTTATTGTAACTCAAATACCAATTCTGGTGTTTTTCTTTTTTGTTGTTATATCGTCTTAGCTAATACTACTACCCAGCAAGCACAAACGTCCTCAGCCTTATGTTCCAGACTGGGATGATCCTACTTGTATAAAGACGTCCAGACGACGTACATAGGTCAACATTTTGGGATATCCCGGGGAAGTCATTTAAGGATGTCCTTGGATCGGCTTTAATATCCCAGAATGTGATAAAAATATTAATTAACATTAAACATAATTGCTACAAAAAATCCCAATAGCAAAAGTAATAAACTAAGTTATAAACAAATATAGTTGCTATACCTCTTACGCACGCTTCATAACTATATATTATATATAATATAGGTATATCATATCAATTCGCCTGTAATGGCGCAGCTAAATAATGATTATAGTGGGTCTGATCTGCTCAGTAATAAATAATGGCTAGTTAATCGAGTAAGTTTGAGTGCAGAGGATTTCCGTAGGCTGTCGTTTTTTGGGATTTAAAGGACATAAAGGCCATTTACAGGACGTTCGTGGGCTGGCCTTTTTTGCATCTCTTGGCCGTCTTTGAGATGTCCCGAGAATTTCCTTTTTGGAATATTTTCTTGAAAACTTCTTAATCTTAAATGGTACCCCTGAAAGACAGATAAATGACAAATTGTCATTGACAATAGGCCCTTTATACTTTTGATAGTTTAGTTAAGCGATAGTTATCTTTTTTAATGAACCCATGAGTAATACAAATATTATTTTTTATTGTATTTTCATTATTTTAGGTTCTTTTGGAATCTGAACAAATTAGAAATTTACATGCACTCGACGGAAAACTATTACAAGATCATTTAGCTTTAATGATTGGTTCAATTGGAGAAAACGCATCATTTAAAAGGGCAGCTTGTTTTAAAACTGCTGAAGATATTAAATTAATTGGCTACGCCCATCCTTCAGGAAATGTTGTAAATAATGTATCTATAGGAAGGTTAGCTGGAATTGTAGCTTTAAAGGGATATTCAAAAAATATAGAAAATTTAGATTTAGTGGGAAAAGGTATTTGTCAGCACATTGTTGGAATGAATCCCAAATTAATTGGAACCGATGCCGATCCGGCTGAAAACAAAGATGAAGAAGTTTCGTTAATTCACCAAGAATATCTACTAGATGAAAGTTTAACTATTAAAGAGTTATTAAGTCAAAATAATGTGGAAGTAGTAGGTTTTAAGAGGTTTGAATGTGGAGAAAATGTTTCAACAACAACCAATCAACCTTTACAATATGTTGAAACCTGTCAATAAAGTTAAATTGAAACTTATTTTTGTTTTCATTTAAATGGTGTTAAGCAATACGGAAGCAACATTCACTTTGGCACACTGAGATAATAGCATCCGAAATTTTTTGTGGTTTCTTTTTTACTTTTAATTAATTTTAGTTTAAACGTTTAAATTTTGACTTAATGAAACTGGTGATTATTGGCGCAACCATGCAGCTTGGAGCTTTGTTTGATTTATTTTATTTGCAGAGTTCTGTGTTGTTTTGAATATTATAATTTAGTATCTTCGCATTTTTTATTGCATTTTACATTTTTTTTTAAATTTTTATGGTACCTAATTATACTTTTGTCCAATTTTAATTTTGGTACGGTTTTCAATTATCTTATCTGTTTTTAAATTGTCACTTTTCTTACACACATAGTTTATTTGAATATAGAAGCAATGGTTAAAATGTTTAACCTTTTTTATTATTATTATTTTATCTCTAAACTAAGTATGGAATGTTTTGAATAAAAAGGATCTTGGAATTTTTAACCTCTTGACACTTAACAAATGAAATCCACCTTAAAGTAAATTACTTCTATTGTATTATTTCATTTAGGGATATAGGATTAAATAGAAACAAATTAGCAATTATATACTTTTTATTATAGCTTTAAAAATAAAACATAACAATTTAAGATTACAAAATTATTTATACTTGGGTGTTTAAAATTGTCCAATAAAATATGAAATGCTAAAGTATAAATAATTTATATTTGCTTTCACAGAAAACATGGTGAAATTTATTTTTCTAACATAATCTAACTATTTGCATTGATATAACAAAATTAATTTCACCTTATTCTAAACGGGAATAAAAGTCATTTAGATTTGAATCAAGGTTTGTCTTGTGTAGATCTGTTTAAATTGCACATGCAAGATTTTTTATAAAAAAAACTGGTCCTTTATTTTTTTTTATTTAAAAAATAATGGTTTTTGAGCAAATAATTTAACTAATAAATAAAATTGGCATTAAAATAATAATTGCCATTGAGCAAAAAATATCAATTACAAAAAATTACTTTTAATGAACAAATGACAAGAATTTTATGGACAAGCAATAATATCAATTTGCATTTTTTTTTTAAATTTTATAACATAATTATCAACCTTGTTTTGTTTTTATTGGCAAAGTAAAAAATGCATATTGCATAGGATATTACAAAATAATGTAAGTACGGTAATATGAATGATGCCTCCACCAATGAAATCAAACTGAAAAGAAATAATGAATTAGGATATGCCTACATCACAGAATTCCCATTACATATTGTTAACAGCAAGTCAAAAATCTTGGCATGTTTATTACCCAGCAATAAATCCAATTATATTAATTTTGAAAATGGGTTTATTACTTTAAGGCATTTTATAATTAATTTACTGGGTAAAATTCATGGACAAAATTATTTATATTAATAAAAAGGGAATGTTTTATTTCAGAGAAAAACATATTTAGAATCAAACAATAAATTTTATATTTCCAGATATCAGAAGTAGAAGTAAAGGTTTGTGTATTTATTGAAAACAATTTAATTTCTCACCAAAAATAAAGTTGTGAACAAAATAACAAAATTTAACTTGGCATAATTGTTGATGAAGTAACTTATCTTGTATTGAATATCACTTATACTTCTGAGTGTACTTATTATTGTTAGTTTGGCCGCGAGTATATTGAAGCTGTTATAAACTATAAGAGCGTCGCGACGCGTCGTCGCTATCTTTACTAGCAATGCAAGGTGTTTTAAATAACGTTGCATCGCTAGTAACGATAGCGACGACGTTTTTATCGTTCACAGCTTCAACCTACTCGCGGCCTGTTATTTATTTAACAGAAAAGGAAAAAAGTTTTTTTTGTATGAGTATAATTGTTCCGAATGATTCTGTTCATTAATAAATTATGTATTATAATTGTGAGATTTTTATTATGTATAAAATAAAACATTAAAAATTGAACCAGTCGCAAGTTTAATGATATATGTAATATAACATCCAAGCACAGACACTTTTTATTAGAATCTCAAATAGGTCAAATTAAGGTACTAATAATCATAAATGCATACATAAAATTACGTTTATCTAATATGTAGGTATATATTTACAGGGTGTTTCACATTCGTTATCCATTAGAAGTTTCTGGGGAACAGAAAAAGATATTGACTATAATCCATTTAAATCTATTTTGAATAAAATGCCACCGTTTTAACCGTAAGTGACATTAATTATGTTGTTTTTAAATTTTACATACAATTTTGATTAAAATACTATATCAAGTCCTATATCTAAAGTGAATAAATTTCGGGTTATTTTTTTTTTAAATTTGAGAAATGCGCGTCAATTAAAAATAGCCTATAATTTTTTTGTTATTAGGTTTGCGAAAATGGGGGTGAAATTTTTGGAATCTTAAAACATTGTTTAAAAAATTCCTTGTCATTCTTTAACATTTTTAAACAAAATACCTGAGAAACCTCAGGAAAATTGGCCTAACTAAGTTAATGACTTTTTTATTTTAAACGTAACACCGGTATGTTTTTACTTAATCAAATAGTAAATTAAGGTTAATAATTTAAGAGATATTTAACAATTTCTAAAATTTTAAATACTATTTTTTATCAAAAAACCTGCGACGGGTAAGTTGACGGTATGGTATGGTTACCACGTAATCTGTCATTGTTCAAAATTTAATGGCATCAATTTTTCAGGTTCTTATTAACAATTGGTTGACCATGTTTTTTGTAAACAAAATTACTAATAAAAAATAGAAGCCAAACAATTTAAAAATTTAAAAGTAATTTTTTTTCAAAATTAGCAAATACAGTATTTGCTAATTTTGAAAAAAAAACAAAGCTGTAGGATGTCAACTAGATGAAGCACTGTTGACAATAAAATATAACATTTATTTTATAAAATATTTAAATAACAAATTTAACAATTTAAATAGAGTGTGTAACAATTTAAAAAACAAACAATATTTTAGTTGAAGAACAACGTCTAATGTAGAAGTAAGAATTAAGAAATTCTTGAATGTAAATGGAAGACACTTTAAACATTTAGTTATAAAAATTTTAATTAAAATATTGTTGGTTTAAAAAATTGTTGAGTTACGCATTCTTTGTTATTAAAATATTTCATAATTTTTTTTTTATTTTATTGTCTCCAATGATCTAGTGCTTTATCTAGTTGAAATGGATGCATCCAACAGCTTTGTTGAGTTTTTTTTTCAAAATTAGCAGTTACTGTTTAGGTAAATTTCAAATTGATATCTTATTTTGTTCCCCAGAAATTTCTAATGGACCACGATTGTGAAACACATTATACATAAAAGGTTAAAACTAAATTTTACAACAAAATTTGTTTTGTTTTACATAAAAATAACCTCCAACTAAAATATGCTTTTTAGGTATTATCAAAAAGAAATCGCGTAAAAATTTAGATAGGTACCCAAATATATTTATTTTATTATGCACCAAAGCATATTAGTATTATTTCAGGATTAAAACAAAGAGATGGGCCAAACTAAAACACTGCCTATTAAACATTTAACGTAACACAATATTGCTGTTATGTAACCCAGGAGTCACATTGCGATTTAACAATGTTACTTAAAAGCAACGTAAGAGTTATTTAAAATAATAGTTACATTTTTACTGCTCCAAGTTAACTAATAAGCAATATAACAACGTAACATTGCGATACAATTGTAATATAAGAAAATTACCAATAAGCAATGTAACAACAATGTAACATTGTGATACTACGTCTTTTAAGCAGTGTAACATTAACAACGTTGCAACTAGAGATGTAAAAAACGGTTTTTTTTTTCAGATGTGAAAAAAACATGAAAAAAAACGGTTTTTTTCAAAATGAAATTTTGAGTAAAATGTATATGTATATTAATAATAAAGTGAAATGTAGAATATATTAAATTTTTCATTATTGAAAATTTTGACTGAGACTAAAAAATCTGATTTCTTATTATTTGGTAGTTTCCACATTAAAAACCAGTAGCAATAAACTTCTACACTAATACAAAAAATTAAAGGATAGCTGTATCTTTGTTTTGAGATTTTTAGATGAAAAAGTGCAACGCTCAATCCTAACGAATGCCGTTCTGACTTAACCACCAATGAATAAATTTTCTACAAGAATTTGCTAATGTTTTTTTGAAAAAAAAAATCTATACTCTACATGAATTTGAAAAATCATGAAAAAAGTGCTTTTGGTAGCTTTTTGAAAAATCAAGCTCTGAATCAAAAATATTATATGTAGTTACTTTTTTTAGACCAAATCAAAACCAGCGCGGCCCTTATTGGTCAATTCCGTGGTGGAGGCGCGTGCATAGTGCGAGACTGTATTTACATTTACTAATTGTCATTTAGTGGCTAATTTTAGTCCATGAACTGGACTGGAAACATAAAAAATTAAGCAAATGGGACTAATCTTGAAAAAAAACCTAAAATGTGAAAAAACCATTTGAAAAAAAAACAATGAAAAAAAACCTGAAAAAAAAAACGGACCGTTTTTTTTAAGTCGCATCTCTAGTTGCAACCTAAAAATATTACATAGTACTAGCCATGTTATGTAACATAACTTATAACTTAAGTTATAACTACATAAATACATATATGTTTCGTAACATTGTAATATAAGAAAGTTACGTTACCCTTCGATTATTATTACATTGCGTTAATGTAACCACAATGTAACATTTTCAAATAAAATAGGTACTTTACAATAACGTAAATATTATATTGCATTATTGTAACGATAATATAACTTTAACATAAACAAGTTATATAAGCTGAATTTAAATTGAATGTATTAATATAACAATAACTGTCATAGTTTTAAGTAATACTGTTAAGTAAATTTAAAAACAAACGTTATATTTCACGTTTATAAAGGCAATGTAACATTTTAATCCTTGATGGAAAGTTACATAACAACAACATTAACATGAATATTTTAATGCATTAACAAAAACGCAACATTGTTATGTAACAATGTTACTTCAAAAAGCATGAAATAGAAACCAATTTGAAACCATCATGTTATGTAACTGCAATGTAACACATACAATTGTTGCAAAACAAATTGGTTAATATTAGTGTTGACCGGGTGGTATGATCATATGAAATTAGAATTTGTATAACCAGAATGTTTTCTTTGAGTGTTTCCCTAAAGAGTAATATAAATGTAGCAAAGCACATCAAGATGAATACAATTACTTTACCCATGTCGAATTGCTTTGCAGTCCTATGTTCCCATCACAAAATTAATTTAGAGATTTCCGACAGGATACTCAGGACATTTTTTGCAATGATAAAATAATAATAAAATAAAAATATAAATGGATTTACTATATAGTAAAAATTGTCATTTTATTTACACAAATTTTATTAGGGTAACAAAATTTTGTTTAAAGTTTAATGTATTTAAAATCCGAACAATTTTAAGACAGGGACGACTAAAATACATTCAACTTAAAATAAAATTTGTTACTATAATAAATAAAATGATAATTTTTCTCAATGCATTTCTAAATCCATTTATTGATTCTCTCGTGAATCACAAGTGAACTCAATGTTAGCTTGTGGTAATCTTAAAACTGTGTGCGTGTATGAGCCTACATATGTGATTCACTTGATGATGTTTATGTGATTTTACATGTTTATCACGAATGTTATCTTGGAAGTAGTTAAAAATACTTAAGGGTATTTCCATTGTAACGGGTGCGACACATGATAATAAAGTGTTTGTTCATATTATATAAATATCAAGATACGTTAATATACAAAAATAGTATAAAAAATAAGATATATTACTCAAAAAAAATGTTAATAAAAACTTGTATAGAAAACTTTTTATAACGTCATGAATCGAGTAACGGGCGCGACCTAAGAAAATTGGCAAATGCTACCAGTTGGCTTCTAAAATTAATACTGTAAAATTTTGGATAAATGCATCTATATTGTATACTTTTTTCTAAAATTTTCTTAAAATGTAACGGGTGCGACATTTGAACTTTTTATCGAGTATTGAAACTCTTCCGTGTTTATTCTTAATATTAGCTTCTTAGCATTACAATATAAGAATATTTTAATATTATAAATTACATCGCAATTTAACTATACTACTTACTTCTTAAGCGGTTGGAAGTCGACCTTAAATGAAACAAAATATACCACGCAAATTGGGACTGCAGAATGCATTTAGTCAGATAAAGTCGAGTATATTATTTTTAAAACATAAAATCAAATTGTTCTTTAAAATAAAATAAGTTATTTATGTGACTCAAGTTCTGGCGCTCTAAATAAAAAACGCTTTACATGAAAATATTGTATTTTCAGAAAAGCATAATAAAAATGTTTTCATGTTCAAGCCAAAAATGTCCCAAGAAGCCTATGCACGAATTATAAATATAATATACTAGTTAATGACAATAATAAATAAAATAAAAGTGGGTCCTAGTTTTTTACATACATTTTTCAATATAGTCCCCATAGAAGTCAAGGCACAAATTGGAAAAAGGATATATATAACCTATTGATTTAGGTATTTAAATGGATAACCTTAATATAATAATATTATTTTATAAGGATTTAAAAATAAATACCTTAATCAATATGTTATATCCTGTTTTAAATTTGTTACTTTATACCTTTTAAATGGCGACGAAATGAGATACATACACTCATTTACTAACTGTTTGTTAATATTGTTATCCGGTATTGTTATTGTTAAGGTTATATGCATCAAGATGTTAATGAAGAATGATTTAAAAATGGCAATCATGGAATTCATATTTTATTGGGTTTAATTGTTAATACAATATATACAATATACATGTGTTTTTTTATAATGAAACATTTATACTTCTACATATTGGTTAAATAAGTGCTTTAATGATCAAAATACTACTTTACTGATAATTAGCATTACCTTGATCGAAACAACTTGGATTTATCAAGTTGATCAATTCATTTTCAGTAAGTGAGGTAAAAGATTGAGGAATCATACGGTCTTCATTTTTCTTTTCACTTGAAACTGTGTTAGAAATTTCTTTTACTGAAATTGGTATGCCAAAATCTGACTTACAGTCTTCAGTAACGGATTTACTTAAAACCATGTTTGATGGAGCAGTGGTGAATTGAGACGACACAAAACTGTTTTCATCATTTCCTTGTAATTGACTTATTGATTCGTTTGTTGTTACTGTGTTTGGAATTGTCGATGATATAGATAACATATCACTTTTTGAACTTGTAATTGTAGCCAATTCGCAGATTTTTTTTTGTGTTTGTAAAAAGTCAACAGCAGCTTCCAACAAAACAGCTTTTTCGGATTCAGTGGCAAGACCCAAGCTTGTAGTGACTATTGGTTGAACCAAAGTATTATTAGTAGAAACTGGTGTTGAAGAAAGCAAGCTTTGCTGGGTTACAGATGAAATTCTGGCGGGTAATAGCGTATCTTGAGAAAGAGAGTTTGAATTGTGACACATGAGACTTGGGGATATTTGTGTATTTAAAATTACTTCTGGAGGAATAGTGGAAGTTGGATTTATCTCTTCAACTGGGGAAGACATTTGAGGGTTTATAATATTAGGAACCAAAAGTGAGTTTTGATTATTAAGCATTACATCTTGAGAGGAAATTATAATATTGGATGATGTAGAAACTACGGGCAATTTGTTTGAAACAGTACTAGTATTGTTAGGACTTCCTATGTGAGATTCCACTGTTGAATTAACAAGGGCATCCAATTTGTCCGTGTTAATTAGTGTTGGAATGGCGGAATCTATAGCTGATGTTAATGTAGTGGAAGTGATTGTTGTGGTTTGTTCTATTAAAGTATTTTCTCCTACAGCTGCCGCTTCACTTTTTGACACTAAACACGATGTATCAGGGTGTGTTGAGTTTGTTAGAAATTGGCGTTCAGATGATAAATAAACAGGACGGTTTAAATTTCTGTTTACGAAATGGGGCAAGGCTTGAGTGGTAGTTGTTAAAACATTACTTGTTTGAGAAGACAATAATTTGTTACTGGAAAAATGTTCGGTTAAAGATTTCTGTAAATTTGATGAATCCGGAATGTTATTTAGTGAAAGTAAATTTTTAGGGGTCTCAATTCTCGTAAGATAATTTTCAATACTTTGAGCAGACTGAGTTGGTAAAGTATTATTTGTATTTTCTATCATTCCAAATCTATGCAGTGTTGCCATTGATGGAGTGTTGGAATTCATTAGATCAGGCATTTTCATACGTAAATCAATAACCTTTTCAGTTGTGTTAATTAGGTTTTGTTGAATAACAGGTTCTGACAATACAAGTCTATCTGTAACAACTGAATTGCTACTTTGCATAACTGCACTGCAAGAACTATCTTCATTAAATGTGGACATATTTGAATTCACATCAAGTGAGTTGTCTCCAAGTGTAGATAATATTGGTCTACTTAATGAGTTCCTTCGTACAATTGTATCAACACTGTCATCATTAATACTTAAATTAGAATTATCATTTAAAGAATTAGCCATCATTGAACTATGATGCACCATATCAATAGAATTATCATTTATCATGGACATGTTGGAATCGCCATGGTGGACATCCAGAGAACTTTCTGAAATATGTCTGTATCGTTCATGTCGTATGTCCATTGAGTCAATTATAGAACTATTACTGCTTTCATCAATGTACTCTTGTTTAAGACTGTGTATTGGGGGCGAATGAATTTCATTAGAAGAAATACTAATAGATGATCGACGATTGGATAAAGGTACCAGACTGGATTCTGGTGGTGGCATCATATCCAAATCCTGTTCTCTCTTACTTAAAGAAGTTTGCCACATTCCTTTAAAAAATGTTGCCTGAGGAGAAGCCTGTGTAGCCTCAGAGTGAACTGTAAAATATAAAATACATATTAGAAACATTTTATGTGCATGGTTGTTAAAACTAATAGCTGCCATCAAAGCCACTGTAAAAAAGGGGGGACCTGCCACTCAAGCCATTCAAAAAAACGAAATAAAGGAAATTTTATGAAAAAATAATTGGGCTATTGTTTACGTCAAATATATTATCATGGCTTGATAGACATGACCTACAATGTAAGCGCCCCATTTTATCAAACTAACATACTTCTTTCATACAAAATATCATTCCTTTTATTTAATCAAACAAACAGGTCCTAATCTTAAGTAACAGGAATAAGGGAGTATAATATGATTATTAAATACTTCAGGCTAAATATTTTAAGCATGGAAAATTATTAAAGACAAGAAACCTCTCTACCCAAAAGACCCAGTTGTTTTAATACCTTCACCACTAACCCTACACAAATAACAATATAGCCTGAAATAATTAAATGTTATAATTATCTACAATGTTTTGTTAACATAAATAAAAATGTATTTGTTCCAATGCCACAGCCATTTCACATTACTCGGCAATTTTTGTAGCGTCCGTAATAATTAAAAATTAGGAGTAAAAACTACTGTAGGTAATTATTATGCTTATAGGCTTAAGCTTAATTATTACAAGCATATTAAACATGTTTGTAATAGTAACTATTGCGATAGTATTTAATTTAAGTACGGTAGCTTTTACTCACAATTTTATTATTACGGAAGCTACAAAAATTGCCGAGTAACGTGGAATGGCTGGCCAGTCGAAATCTCAATTTTTAAGCTATTAATACAGTGTGCATTTGTTCTGATATTATTGCTCATTTGATCTTTTTAAAAATAATTGTAAAAATTGTCAATCATTTTGAATTACTGTGGGAATGATGAAATTACACTACAACCAACATGAAATTAATTCTATAATTATTTAAAATTGTGCTATATATACAGTTTAACCCATTTGTTTGCGACACCCCTGTAAAATCTTTATTTATTGTGCGATTTTAACCGGATTTGTTTTAAAGTGTAGATCTTGATAAACTGTATTTTTGGAGCAAAAAACGCTATATTTGTACAAAATACAAGGCCTACTACACCACACCTCAAAACGACCCTTTACTTAATTTTATTGAAAAATTTTAAGTAGAAAAATGCACAAAATAATTACAAAAATTTATTATGTCAAGTTATCCATGAAAAAAACATTGAAATAAAATTTAACTAATCGTCACCTGAGTATTGGTTTGTGCTATCTCCATTTTTTACCATTTTGAGATTTATGCATTTTCGGAAAGTTGAAGTTGGTTTGTTCCATCTCCATAATAGTATTTTGATATAATTTTGTCAGTTTTTATTTTAGGTTAGTCTAAATCCGAGTTTTGTATAAAAGGTTTAAAATTGGTTTACTCTATCTCCAATATTTCGCTTACAGGCTTTCTTTTGCTCTATGTGTTTGTACAAATCTGAAAATAATTAGTATTTGTTTGTGCTATATCCATATGGAAAAAATATTTTATTACTGTTTTGTGCTATCTCCAAGTAAAGCTTCCTTATAAGTATAAGATTGTTTTGTTCTATGTCCTAAAACTTTGTTATATGTCCAACATTTTGTTTCTAAAATCCAAAAATAGCACTTTTTGTTTTATCTCCAAAACGTTTTTTCCAATATTGAGGCATAAATCTAAATTTGAGATAAGAGTTGCTCAATAGAACTAATTAAAGGCTAACCAAGAATATTGTTATTAATGTTTAATTCAGTTTTCATTAAAAAACAAATAACATATTTAATGTAAAAGTTTTAAACCCGTTTATCTCGATTATAACATATTGGACATAGAACAAATCAATACTCAGGTGACGTAATAGTAACATGGTACTATTACTATAAGTTTAATTTTATTTCATGGATAACTTGACATAATAGATTATTGTAATTATTATTGTGCATTTTTCTACTTAAAATTGTTCAATAAAATTTACTAAAGGGTCGTTTTGAGGGGTGGTGAATCCAGTGCCGTGCTTAGATTTTGTTTAAAAAAATCGATAATATGAATTCTTAAAAATTTACTCTTAAAAACTGACATAATAGGCCTTGTATTTTGTACAAATATGGCGTTTTTTGCACCAAAAATAAAGTTTATCAAGATCTACACTTTAAAACAAATCCGGTTAAAATCGCACAATAAATTTACAGGGGTGAGTCGAAAAGAAATGGGTCACACTGTATATATTAATTTTTATATTTTCAAGCAAAACAGAAATAAAGCAAAAATTGCATTTTTAAGGTACCTTTTCCATAAATGAATAATGGTATATTATTTTACGAGAGTCGTCAGACGAGAGACTCAAATCATCCGAGTGAATAATACGCATAATCTCGAGTGTAATACTATACTTTATCCACTCCAATAAGTAGAAGTTAGCAACAGGTTTTTAGTCAAGGGCTGAAGTTGGCTTAAAGTTAGTTAACAGTTGTCAAATGTCATACAATCGTTAAGTGCCCTGCCTGTGAAATATTACTAAATTTTAAAATTATTGTATTATCTTAATACAAAAATTCTAAAGTAATAATTAGTTTCTCAACTCCAATATTTAAAAAATTTGTACTAACATTTTGATTTCGCCGGCAGCACTAAACTAGATTTATCGGATAAACGGCCATTCCAAGCCCATGGACAGGACACATCAAAAACATGTCTAAATATATTCTTATTACTTCCTTAAGTTTACTTATTTTTTCTACGAGTATTTATGAGAAGTATTAGCCAAATTTGGCTAATACTTCTCATAAATACTCGTAGAAAAAATAAGTAAACTTAAGGAAGTAATAAGAATATATTTAGACATGTTTTTGATGTGTCCTGTCCATGGGCTTGGAATGGCCGTAAAGCATTACACATTTTGGGTTGAGACTTCACCGTGAAGTGCCCATTCTCTTTACTTTCACTGTAAAAAACTGCTTCTATATCTGATTTAAACGGTTGTTAGCCGCCAGTAATACAGATCCCGCTCTTACAGTTACTCTATTTTTGTACAGATGTCGCTTTCTAAAAATATTTAATATAAATATTTTTAAGATAATAAGTAATTGTAGTTGAAAAAGTATAGTATGCAACTCGTTTACAAACTTTTCGGGAAACTTATTTAATTAAAGACTCGCTCACAAGCTCGCTCGTGCCTAATTTAAATTCTTGATTAAAATGGCTTTATCAAACTTGTTACATAATATACTATTAAACACAGCAAGTGTAGAGAGGAATCTTTAAGGATTTATTATGGAAAGTGGAGTAAAAGGAATAAGATTAAACATACAAAATTCATCACATTCACACTATGCGTTTACATTACAGGTCTTTGTGGATAAATCATCAGATCGGTATTCCTGAAAAATAAAAACGGCCCACGCGTCATCGTACTTAAATTTTTCTGAAATAATTTTTTATGTGTTAAAATGATAATTTAATGTTTACTTATTAAATCTACAAAAGGGCTTACAAATAGGTACAAGGAATGTGTAATGTGTTTGGATGTGTAGGTAGTTGTAGCACTATTACTTTTAGTAATGTGCATATCTCTGACGTCCCATATCATAATGCAGGAACATACCACATACACAGTGATTTATTAAAACCTTACATAAAAAATATCTAAATAAGATGGATTAGTTAAAAGCAGCTTTTTGACAAATATCAAAATATTCTCTTTAATAAAATGTATTACTGTACATTCCCAGATAACAATCGTGAGACGCATTTTGATGCACATCGCCTTCACGCCGTGTGGAATCATGCGTAACGGTAAAAACGCTGCGTTATAATTCTAATTATTACAATCATTAAATTGGAATACATGCACGTGATTGGTATATGAGGGCACAAAATAATTGCAAACTTTTTTTATTACTTTTCACTTTAGCTAAAAATGTGGATGTAATACTGCTAACTAAATTATTCAAATTATTTAAAATATATATTTATATATATATATATTATGTAATATATGTATATGACATATATTAATATAAATAATTAGGGATGCATCCGATACGATAACGATACCGCAGTGCACATCTGCAGGAAATTTCTCCAACTATCACATGTGCTGGCTATATAAACTTTTATTAATGACGCGAATGATCCATATATGCGTGTCATACGTGCGAGTTAACAATCACGCCGGACTACAATGTGCGTCAATTATGAACCTCGCAATGTTATTTGGGTTGTTATAAATAATTTTTTGTGTGGTTTTAGGAAAATTTAAATTCAACGAGATGTTACTTATTTAAAGAATAGGTAAACATAAATAAAAACATGTGTGTTTTATCTTTAAATTTGTGAAAGTGTAACTGCTGACCCAAACATTTATTAATTAGTTTAGGATTTAAATCAAATTAAACTACAAATATACATTGTCATCCTTTATATTAAAAAATGTATAGGTCTAATTTAACCCCTGTAACTCTAAGGAGTATGCAATGTGTGAAGGTATAATTGTCTAATAAGGCATAAATGTACGTGTTTTTAAGTACCCGTGAGACTAGAACCTGAACGACGCGTCATCGGCGAAGATAAGGCCCCACAGGCTGAGTGGACGGTGGAAGACGGCTCCTCTGCTTAAACAGAGCCTGTATACTAAATGAACAAGTAGTTCATTCAAATTAGATAATTCCTTACTAGTAATTTTGGAATAAATTAAATTAAAAATATGTATTGCTAACTAAAATATTGATTTGCCTATTATATTGAAAAGAATTTTCTTACATATTCTGTTTAAAAGTATATTAAAGAAAATTACTTCTTACTGAATAATTAGACTTTTGTATTTGTATTAGGCTTGAATAAGTAAAATAATGTTGTTTATTTAAATTTTATTTATTTTAAAATTACCTTTAAATTTTGAAATTCCAATTTGACTGAACCTAAAGTGAAAATCAAAACGCATTTTTTTTATAATATACTTTGATTCTAATACAAAAGTATTGATTTTATAACAAACCAATTATGTAAAATTTTTTGATTAATTGATAAACAATTCTACATTAAGCCATTAATTTGGTTAGTTTGTGAACAACATTGATATATCAAAAAATTTTACTTTACACACTAAAATAATAGTATTATTTCATTTTGAAATATAAAAATCCAAAATATTTTATATACAAAATATTAATTAAATAATTACATTTTAAACATAAAAAATGAATACATTTTAAAGTTTTATAAATACATTTCATTTTTTATTATAAAAATATACATTGCAATTTTAAAAAATATTCATATATAAAAAAATACATTTTAAAAAAATTGTACTTTAAAGAAGTTAAATTGTTTTTTCTTTGAAGAATTCTCCCTAAATAAAAAATTTAAGATATCAAAAATTGTTTCTGCATCCTTGTCTGAAGAAATAAAATCCACAAAACTATTTTATAAAAAAATATAACAAGTAATGTGGACTTTAAAAGAAGCGTTGGGCAAATTTTCCACTAACTCACACTCACAAACACCAATCATACAATTTTCTCACCGACTCAATAATGCATGCTGATGTCTTTCATCAATTGTTCCCATACAAACACAAAAACAACTTTATCAATTAATAGTGGATATTTGCCTGGTTTATTATTTAGTTTCAAAGATTAATATTATTTTGTAAAAAAATTAGAACAAAAATCTTGTACGCATAAATTAAATATTAATATTTAAAACTTCACTCTTAAAAAAGTATCGTAAAAATAAAAACAAGTTTTAATTGATCACAAAATTTAAACGATTTTACCATACTTTTTTAATCCATACTTTCTATTTCCATGCATCATGCTTAAAAGACCAGAATAACTTAATTATTTGTTGTTGCTTTGATAAGTTACAAACAATTACCGACTTTATTAAAATAAATAATAATTTAAAAGACAATTAAAAACTGTTAACAAACATGCATGTTTTTCAATGAGAGTGTCAAAACTAAGATAAAAACCAATAGTCACTACAAGTAATAATTCATAGATTCATTTTAGTGTTATCTTAATTTTTATTTTAAATACAAGTTTTTGGCATTATGTTTCAAATATAATTACCCTTCTCCTGCACTTGGAAGATCCAACTAATTTTTAAGTTACTACAGACTTCCTACACATGCATCTCTATATTTTTTTAATAGAAAAGTCCCCTGAACGTTTTATTTTGAGATAATATGCGGCGATTTTACATACCGATTTTTTACTTTCACACCAAGGTGTATTTTCAACAAAATATTCCTTCTACAATGCACTATATGTATAGTACTGACGCAAAAAATCAAAATTTGACTTTTTACTACAAAATTTAATATAGGTAGGTACTTAAGTAACATTTTTTTAAGTTTCTTGGAGAGAAAAAGTGAACTCCGTTACAGCACACAGAAGCAAAAGTAGCTAGAGATAGCATTAAAAAATATTATTTTTAATTAATTGCTACATAAAATCAAAATTATTACTTGTGAATCAGTGATTATCTTATTATATTAACCAATAGGTGGTAATTCAAAACAACTAAATTAAGTCAATCTTATAAAAATATAAACAATAAAAAACTTTTACTATTTGCTTACCACTTGTCAAAACCCCAGTAACTGGGGTGTATACAAACTGATGGGATTCACTCGTTTTACCGCTAGAAACCACACATAGCCGAACCGAAACTGGTTCAAGTATATCTGGTCTACGATACGGAGGTATTACACAAACAAAATGTGTCTAAAACAAAAAAAAATGCTATACAATACTTACTTAATAATTAAATAATTATAACAAAATCAATAAAGTAAAGTGACATACTTTACCTGTTGTAAATATTCTTTATCAGGGACAACGCTATTTTCCCATCTAACATGCCCATCTTCAAATTGTTGAAAATAAACCTTTGTGTCTTTTAAAAAGTTTTTTCCCAAAACAAATAGTTCTAATCCTCCGTTCGCAGGACAAGATGTAAGAGACTTTTTACAAATTTCAGGTACACCTGGAGGTTGTGCTACAAATAAAAAACTTGGCTTGCATGTTAAAATATTAACACTATATTTAGGTACTTACTGCATACAATAGGTTGTGAACATACTTGAAGAGTTTCTTGAGTGCCATCATTGAGAACCACTGTGGTTCGAAATATCATTCTACATCTGGTAGATTTTTTTTTGCTTCTATTTCCCAATTGTTCAGGAAACCTATGCTCCACATCAACATTTCGTTCTTTTAATATACCAACACAATCACAAGTCGCACTCATTTCTTTTGTAGGGTCCAGTTGTAGCTCAATTACACAGGTACCATCAATTTTTTTCTCTATGCAAGGTGTTGAATTTTTTCCACTCACTTTACAGGCTTGGTAAAACATATGAGGTGCAACCTTTCCAACATCAGTGCCAATAAAAACCTATAAATTGTTTAAATGTAAATAGTAAACTAAAAACAGTTAAATTAAAATTTACTTGTAAAATAGCTGGCTTATAGTATCCTTGAAGTTGTACAATGGGGAAACCATTTCCATCTCTATCTTTTACAGCTCCTCGACTACCCTCAGTTTGATATCGAGCCCTGTGTTGTTGTTCAGGTTGTTTTAAAATTGTTAGTGATACATCCACTAAAAAATATTTATTGTAGAGCCCACAATCCACACAACAACAACAAGGTCTATTCATATTTTTTATTATTAGGATCAGCTCTACCACAATCCACACAACAAGGTCTATCTTGTTTCGCGCATACTAAAAAAACACTGCACTGCTCACAGACCTACTGTTTGTTGGTCTGTGGCACTGCTATTTTTATGTTGTTCACAATAATTGTGCTTTGGGTTTGTGCTGTTTATACAGATTAATAATCATTTTAAACGTTGTGTTTCTAACAGAAGCACTTGTAAGCCTCAAATGAGGCCTGAAAGGACAACCATTTTAGTCTTTTGTAAAAAATAAACCTTATTCTATCAGAGCTGTCATTAAACTGTCAAATGTCAATTTTAAGGTTAATTTGTGGGTTATGGTAATTAACCTTAAAATTTGACAGTTTGATGACAGCCCTGATATAATAAAGTTTATTTTTTACAAAAGAGGAGTAAAATGCTTGCGAAAGTTTAATATTTACTCCCTGTGCTATTAGGGACGAAAGTAAGTACTTTCGACCGATGCATCGCGATGTATGAAGAAAAATAGTATACACCACACAGGCCAAGTGCCTCTGTAAGAAACACAACGTTTAAAACGATTATTAATCTGTATAAACAGCACAAACCCAAAGCATAAAAATAATTATTGTAAACAACATAAAAATAGCAGTGCAGTCTTTTTTAGTATGCGCGAAACAAGATAGAACAAGATAGACCTTGTTGTGTGGATTGTGGTAGAGCTTATCCTAATAATGTTACTGTCGGTATTACTTGTTTTTATAAAGTAAAAAAAAATTCTTTATATTCAAATTTTTTAAAAAAATACGTAATTTTGAATGTGGAAAGTTAAATGTTAAATTAAATTAAATCTTCACTTACTAAATCCAGACGTTGCTGTGAGTTGTGTTGTTAATGCTACTGGAGCAGATGAGGACTGTCGACTAGAAAGTGGGACACACCTAGGTACAGCTCTACCCGAAGAACTTGCGGCATTATTTGTTATGCTTAATGAAGGTACTGATCCTACAGGTGCTGTTCTTATTAACCTAAAAACATACATACATCTAAAACAAATTGTTAATTGTTTCGACTTTTACTTGATGAAACTCCATGTTAATATTGTTTTATTTTAATATAAACTACACTGTTTAAAAGTTTCACTATTTTATTTAAATATGACAATTGTTTCGCTACACAGTAGCATCTTCAGATCGTATACAAACTAATATTTATTTTACTGTAAATAAATAGTAAAATAAATATTAGTTTGTATACGATCTGAAGATGCTACTGTGTAGCGAAACAATTGTCATATTTAAATAAAATAGTGAAACTTTTAAACAGTGTAGTTTATATTAAAATAAAACAATAAAACAAATTGCTCTGTGTAGGCAAGGGGCACAAGTACATTTTCTTTAGTTTTGATATAATCATGTTAAAATTTTAACCCTCTTGTAATTTGGAGTCAAAATTGTTTGTTGTTTTATGACTTTGTTTTTTAAGCTTAGAATTCAGATATCGATGACTTTCCGCCAAAGGACCGCAAGGAAATTAACTATATAAGACTCCACGTCTAACTAGCAGCAGAGCAGCAACAGCAGCCCGGCAGATAAGACCTGAAGATGGTACATGAGATTGTATCGAAACGTCGTCAGACATGCGTATACGTACGTGAAACACCATATTAAACGTCATATATGTGTTATGCTATACTTAATTATTAATAAAAGATACAACAATATTTGTACAAAAATGACAAAATGTACTAAACTAAACATTTATGAATACTGCTAATTCAAAATTGATCCTGGCCACAGAAACAGCATTGTATAAGAATGAGTATGATAATCAGACTATGATTATAAGAGTCGTATAACCGGCCCCATTGCCTCATCGCTCCCGGGCCCCGCATAGGCCTCTGTTTCCTTGCGCCGATTTTCTTTCGCCACCAGCAACCCGTGTTTGCTGGTTGCGAATGTCCATTGCGTCCTGTACTGTCCCCTAATTAGGGCTCGAGAGCGAAATCCAAATAGTTTTAGTAGCCATTCCCAGGTTCGCCGAGCCGATGCTATACGCCCATTAGGAGGTAGGTCGGGGATTACGCCTACTCAAATCTAAGTACGACGCGGTACCCCCCTAGACCAGGCAGTTAGTATTACTCCAAACATTTGGGATTAATGTATGGAGTTAGGGAGTTGTAATTTTGCTGCAGGGGCCTAGTTTACTGGTCGTGGTCAACGTTACAAAACTGATTTTATGAAATAGGTAATTTGTCAAAATTTTAACCTTTGGACTTGCACTGTTTTTAATCTCACTGATTTATTTGGAATTGCATATTCCGCTCTAGTAAAACCGTCAATCTCGCCTTTGTCTCGTGTGACAAACTTTTCACTCGAGCGGAATATGCCGTTGTTGTTGTTACAGAATATACTATTCCTTAATTAATGCAAATGCGTTTTGAGGCTTCACTGCAAAACTGCTTTTTTGACTTTATGAATTGTAATTATTGGGTAATTATTAGTATTTATTATATCAAAATTAAAACTTATGCACATCTCAAAAGCTTAAAATAATATTAATACAATATCTACTTACGAAATTGAATCTTTACAACTCTTTACAGCTTTTGGGAAATTATAATTATTATTTTCTTCTTGATATTCCAATTTCATGTCGATCCTGGGTCTTTTTGGTTCCGCTCTTTCACTATTCCACGTTAATCGTTCAGATACATTCTGTTGTTGATTTGGATCCACGTGATTTTCAAAACTAAAATAAGTTTTAATGTTATTGGTTATCTTGGTTTATGTCTAAATATTTAATAATATAATATATAAGCCTTGGCCTATATTTTATGGGCATTAATATACATTCATTTCACCGAGCATTGAAATTCCAAACATTTTACTGGACCGCTTACTTACAAATTTTGTAAAGCAAAAAATTAACAATATTGTGAAATAATGTCCGAAATAATTATAAATACTCCCAACTACCTTTTTAATGTTTGCTTCTCAAACAAATGTTCATTTTTTCTCAATGGCATTGTCAATCGTCATAATTTTCGATATTGGTCCGACACGAATCCAAGGATCTTCCATGAGGTTCATACTCAACATCCTCAGAAATTAAACGTTTGGGCTGGTATTTTTGGTGATGATATAATTGGACCATTTTTCTTACCGGGAAATTTAAATGGAGCTACTTATTTGGATTTGTTGGAGAATGCCGTCAACCCAACGCTGATCAAAATTATGAAAAACGACCAACGTTACCATGAAGAAAATCCGATATTTCAGCTATGCATTATGCATTACCTGTACTACAATTTCTGGATTAAACGTTTCCTGGTAGATGGATTGGGAGAAGGGGTTCTATCGAATAGACCGGATTTATCTCCCCTTGATTTATTTTTGTAGGAACATCTGAACTCGAACAAATAACACCCGATATCCTTTACAATGTCCGGGAACACTTTGAACAGTTTCTGTACTATTGTATGGAGGTGAACATGTTTAAAAGTTAATAAGATAATACGTAAGAACTAATCAATAAAATTAAATTAAAGTTCTCGGCAACCCGCAGTAAAAATTTAAAAAACGAAGCGCCGTTTTAAAGAATATTAAATGCCCTTTCAAAAGATGTATCACAACATACCCTTTTCCATTTAAAAATAAGAGTGAATACCGCCCCCGCTAAGACGTTGAAGTTACAGTGATAAAATTAATGTGTAAATATGTCCCCCTGAAAACAAAAGTATACGGGTCCGAAGATTTTTTTTATTTTCACATAAAAAGCCGTAAACCTTGCTGGACTGTTTTCGACGGGCCACTCTGTATGTATGTATACACGTATGCATCTACAGCTCTTTCACACTACAACCGAATATATCTATATATATATGGGGCGTGGTCTCGCCTCCCTCCAACGCGCGACACAGTAGCTAAGCAAATAGACTGCATCGCTAATGAGATTTTTTGCATTATTATCATTTAATTTTTTAAGTTCTCACCTGCTCGACCTTTCGTCATGTCGTTTATCACACAAGCAACTGTGACGCGCCTTGGAGGGAAGCGAGGCCACGCCCCATATATATATAGATATATTCGGTTTTAGTGTGAAAGAGCTGTATGTATACATATATATACATAAATATTAGGGTGGTCGTTAAAAATTAATTTTTTTGCGACGCCCCCTAAAAAGCTTCTTTTTGATGAAAAAACACTGGGATTTTTTAAAAACAACACGTACCTCAAGACGATCTAAGTTAATTTTTTGGTATAATTATGTTTTTTTGGGAATTTTTTATGAAAAATAAAATTTTATTCGAAATATAAACAATTATAGAACCCAAATTAATAAAAAAACAATAGTTACTCGAAATAACAAAAGACAAAAATTTAAGTTCAAAATTTTTCCCAGTTGATTAGGTCTATTAAATAAAAAAATGAAAGATATTCAAATTGATATTTTTATTTTAAAACTAATTAGTACAACGTAATTTTAATATCTAGATTTCTTCACTCCAAGGTGAAGTTATTTTATGGTTAATAATTTTTAAATCTCAAAAAAATTATTATTCCATATTTTCAGAAAAGACATGATTATACCAAAAAATTAACTTAGATCGTCCTGAGGTCCTGTTGTTTTTAATTTAAAAAAAATTCCCGGTGTTTTTTTATCAAAACGAAGCTCTTTAGGGGGCGTCGCAAAAAAATTAATTTTTAACGACCACCCTAATACATATATTTAATATATTATATTGTACATCCCTTAAGTGCTCGGGCTTTTGCACTAAGTGCTCCGTTTTTAGTAAACGGTCATAACTTATCCCATATGTGCGGGGCTTGGGTTATTTGACACATATTGAGTCAATATGTGTCAAATAACCCCAATATTATTGACACTGTAGTACAGTGTCAAATAACCCCGCACATATGGGATAAGTTATGAGTTAATTTGAATTAGCGCACCGTGAAATATAGACGTGTGTCTAGCAGCGAGCTGTTCCAAGAGAGCACAAATTTCACCGGTGTAATTGTTTAATTATTTTTATGTGTTGCATATGTAGCTGACAGTAAATGTTCTTTTGTGTCAAAATAAAATATATGTTTACTTTTAGGTATTTTTTTTTAATTTTATTTATATAAATATTTACAGCTAAGTATAAATATTTACAGCTAATAAAATAAATGAAAATATTAATTATATAACTTTTAATATTTTATTGTTTCGACCTTTACTTTCACGAAAACTCAAAAACAGTGTTTGTTTTTTATCCAGTTATACATTATATAACTTTTACATTTTAAATGGTTTAACAGCATTATAATCGTGAGGAGCACAAAATGCTCCCTGCGACTACTTAAGTAAAATTTTTTTTATTAATATTGTATGCATCACGAAAACTCAAAAACAGTGTTTGTTTTTTATCGAGTTATACATTATATTACTTTTACATTTAAAATGGTTTAACAGCATTATAATCGTAAGGCGCACAAAATGGTCCCTGCGACTACTTAAGTAAAAAAAAATATATTAATATTGTATGCATACTATGACTGTCAATGCATTATGCATAGGGTAGAAGCACCCGTTTTGGCCGATCGGTGGCCAAAATCCAATCCATGAATCTAATTTCCCGCCGAATCCTTGAGTTATTATTTTGCTTTAGTGCGTTCATTGGTATCATTGCGAAAGAAATGGAGGCTGTGTAAAAGGTGTTTGATGTGTTGATATCCAATCTTTAGCAAAAACGTCAAGTAACCCAGGTAAGTTTTTTAGATCATAACATTTAATAGAATAGGAGCTTTAACATGACTGATGATTTTTTAAATTTTATAATGTTAAAAAATGACAATAAAATAATGTTATAAAGTTTAACCAACCGGTTTTGTGTAAAAAGCGGTGGCCAAAACAGGTCATAATAAAATGGCGTTTTCTCCAGTTTTGGCAACTGCCCTGGCCAAGGCTGTTTTAATCAATTTAGGTACCTAGGTCGTAACTACCTACTTATTTTTTACTAAAGGCTAAGACTTTCTGAATCAGATTAGGTACCTTCTTAGCTCTCCAATCAGTAAGTATTATAATCGTCCTTTTTTGCTGCAGTTTTAAAATGGATACAACAAAGAAAGAAAATTACCAAAGCAAAACAAGGTCCTTCTTTCAATACTAACAGGATCAACTGAAAAATGCCTTAGTGGCTATTTGAAATAGTATGCCGGCGGCTAAAGCTAGCAAAACATTTGGCGTTCCTAGAACAACCTTACGATACAAGATAGCAAAGCAGAGGACTGATGCCAAGTGTTCTGACCTCTTATAAGTGGCTGGAAATGGCAGAATAAAAAGAAAGCCTTGGAGGCAGAAAAACAAAAGAAAAAGAGAAAACAAGAAGCAAAAAGCTGCAGAAAAAATGAAAAAAGGAGACTAAGTCAAAGACTACAAAAGCCAAACCCACTGAAAAACCCGTTTCCGCAAATGAAGGAACATCCTTAGATAAAGATTTAAACAAGGAAAATACGGCAACTAAAATACCTAGAAGATTATAAAACCAAAGAAAAAAGTCAGAAGAGCACATTCCTTTTTCTATGTTCGTCACTGACAAACCCGTTTCCGCAAATGAAGGCACATCCTCAGATGAAGATATAAACACGGAAAATACGGAAACTAAAACAGAAGTATATAAAACCAAAGGAAAGATTCATAAAGGCACATTCGTCATTGTAAATAACGTGAATAATTACTTTCCTGGAATAGTTATAAAAAATCGGAAGGGTTTGTGGTTTCTTGTAAGGCTAAAAGCGGCATTTATTGGAAATGGCCAGAAAGAAAAAACAAGTTAATGTATGAATATGACGTTGTAATTAAAATTATCAAAGATATTTAGTGGACGAAATAAAAAAATATAGAGATTAGTTACCGAACTAAACGGGCGCACTAAAATAGTTTTATTTGTTTTTAAAAATGTATGTATGTATATGACTTTTTTAATATAAATTTACTACATACGAGGTGTGTTCAGAAAATAACGGGAATTGTTAAATTTCGTGGGTTCGGAGGGTCCGGTTGTCATAAAATTTTCTTTATTATGTTGGTATACATGCCCCCGAAGTATGATAAAAACTTTAGCTGTTTTCACTGTTTACTTTGTCTGTGACAGCCGCTAAGGTTAGACGTGTTTTATGAGCTCGGCGATTTTCGTTCGTTAAAAGAAATGGATAAAAGAATTTGTATCCAATTTTCCTTAAAAAATTAAATAAATTCTGTGAAATGTTAGAGTTTACAAGTGGTATAAGAGTTTCCAAGATTGCCGTGAAGACGTTGAAGATGACGAACGCCCCGAACGCACAAGCACATTAACAACCGATAAAAAGATGGAAAAGGTGGAAGAAATGGTTATAAACCATCAGAGAAGTCGCTGATGATGTTGGTATATCGATTGGCTCATCCCATAAAATTTTTTAGAATGTTTTGGGTATGAAACGCGAGGCAGCAAAATTTGTTCCAAAATTGTTAAATTTTGAACAAAATTTTTGGCCAAAAACAATACATAGATGACATTAAAAGCGCATCGCTGAAAGAACTAAAGGCTATCCCAAAGATCGAGTTTTAGAAGTGTTTCGAGTATTGGAAGAAGAGTCAGCACATGTGCATAATATCCGATGGGAACTATTTTGAAGGCGACAACATTAATGTAGACGAATAAATAAATATTTGTTTCAAAAAACGAACATTCCCGATATTTTCTGAACACACCTCGTACATGCTTTCTCTTTTTATATTATGTTGATATACTAAAGGCGCATTCATGCTCACTTAAAATAAGAAATAAGATAGAGATGGAAACACTTGTAATAGTTTATTCAAAGCAAGACCATATAAATGAGGGAGGTAAACTCAAAATTGTTCTTAAAGTGGCCAAAACAGGTGCCTCTACATGAAGGCCTATACAAAATTAGACTAAGCAGAAGTGGGCCTCGGTGCAAATCATACTTGTGGCCCCTCTACCTTTGCCATTAAGACGAACTTTAACTTTTTAAAATTACTTCACACAAATAATTGGACTATTTAGTGTAATAGAAAACATTTATTAAGAAAAAAATTAGATAAATTAGATAAAAATATACACTTTGGTACAAATCCGATAGCTATGAATCTTAGCGAAACTTGACCTTAATGGTGGATATTGTTAACAGATCCACAATGGATTGTTGACAAATCAGTGTTTTGGTTTTTAGGTTCAGTTCTTTTTCCTTATTTTTGTACGATTTTCTTGGATTATTTGCCTTTAAAATAACAATATTTTAAATTATGTATACCTATAGGCATGTATTATGTTTATGTAAAAAAAACATTGTTAATTTTGTAATTTACTGTTTACAAGGATTCTCAACAAGTTGTTGAAACCAACCAATAATTTAACAATCTAAAACTCCCCAAATCAGAGCATAAAAATGGCTGCCGATTACATCTTCTTTTAATACAAGGCGCAAAGGTATAAACGCAATATATCTCTAAATATGTGGGTAGGACAAGCAATAGCAAGAATCACAGAGCAGAAAACACGCCGTTGCCCCTTTCACCTCCCGTCTGCTAATTGTGCCATAAAATAAAAAAAAACAGAACATTTGATGTTAATCAAACTTTGACCTCGAATAACTCTAGAAGAAATCAATTTATCAAAAAATAATAAGAGAGCTTTTTTTAGAGCGTTACATTTTATATAATAAACTTTAATGATCATTGCCATAAGTTACTTTGATACAGAGGTATAAAATTCCAAACATAAATTTATTTTTTCCCATGTTAATTAAATGGGAAACTAAAATAAAAACAGCGACCTCTTAGAGTTGAGCTGGAACGCCCATATTTGGTGAGGATTTTTTTTATGTTAAATAGAAACATTTGAGAGGGTAAGAGCGAAAAAAAAATTAAATTTTATTTTTTGAAGCACCCTAGGGCCCCTATATGATCGGGGCTCCTGGGCACCGCACCGAACTGTCCTGTATATGTCCGCCCCTGAATTAGACCAATGCAAATGCCTAGCATACAAACGATTTAATTTAATTATTATTATTATACACGGGTAAAAATATACTGGGTTAAACAAAGAAACCGATAGAATAAATCTGTACTAATTTTTATTTTACAAAACAATTATTTGGCGCTTAACAATCATATTTGTCAAATTTAAGTTCAATTTGCTTTATTTATTTGATATTATTGTTTTATATTTTTATTATCGCATACATGGTCCGTGCTTTGAAAATTTGTATTTTTTTTTTAATGGCTGAGATAATTCAATGAGATTTAAAAGATTTAAACGTCTTGGTTTTTTTTATTTGATTAATATAATTACTTTTCCTATTTAATCAACAGCACTTATAACAATTTCTTTTAATATATAAATAATTTAAATTAGTACACAATAGAGAAATATACTTTATGGTTAGTAAATCAAATAATGCATGTATGTTACAGAAAATATATAAAACGATTTTTTATAGGTACTTACCCTAATCCGCTATCATTAGAATTGTCACAAGGATCCAAACTACGTCTAACCGCTGATCTAAGTTTTCCTGGCATCTCCCTATTTAAATTAACTCTTTTTCCAGGGGGCCGACCCGGCCTTCGTTGTTTCATTTGAGGTGTACTAACAGAAGGTACTGTACAAAGCGTCATGTTTACACCTCCTGTAAGGAATGACAAAATATTAGTTAATGCTGTAGGTATCCAAAAAGATATTACGTAACAATATTTTTAGGGGTGCTTCACATTGGTTTAATGTTATGTATAGGATAATTTTCACACTGCATTTTTCAGAACAATTATGCGCTTATTATAGTTACCTAATAAAATAAAATATATATTAAGAAGATTCTTCTAAATGAATAAGGCTTATACAAGCAGGGAAGTGCCTTATTCATTTAGAAGAATCTCCAGTGACGACTGGTGGATTTTGGGTATACCGATATCTCAATTATTAGGTATGGGACCCAAACCAAATTTATATGAGTTTATAATGACATTTAATAAACAAGTTTTGCGCAAGCAGAATTTAAATTGCAGTTTACGAAAAAAAGATAACAAATATTATTATATATTATACATATATCAAAAAAAAATTATTTATATATACGTAAAACTATACTTATACCATTTTGCTATCTTTATATTTGATATAATTGTGTAATTTCCATACTATAAATTAAATAGTGTATTGAGCCGTGTAAATGGTCTTAAGATTTCTTAATTAATTTAATTTAATTTTTAGTTTGTAACAGTAGTAAAATATCAAAAAACATGTTTAATTAGGTATATGGTTCTAATTTGGTAAACAATTTTATTTATGTAAGCACAAGGTTTAGATGAGTTGTACAAACACAATAAAAATACGGTAATTAACAAATGGTAAATTAAGAAATCAAAAGGCGCTTAAAAATATGCATGTAAAATAAAATACGGTGACGCAAGAAAGTAAGTATTGTTATTTAAACAAGATTAAATTACCTTTTATCAAGGTCACCTATTTAATGTGGGCTGTTACAAAAAGTTAATATTAAAATTATTAATATATAAGTTGCAATATTTTTATTTTTCGTTTTACTATAGTTAAACGAAAAATATAAATATTGCAACTTATTTATATTATTCGTTTTACTATTTATAAAGTAAAACAATTTTTATTATTTATTTATTTCAGGTACAGCAAGGTTAAAAAACACCATAATTTATTAATTCGTGAAATTTGTGAAACCGGTTGTATAGCAGGTCAATGCAGATCTCCTCTGTAAAAGGTGTTTACAAAAAACTAGCACTTAATCCTTAGACCTTAAAGGCGCATTCATGCTCACTAAAATAAGAAATAAGAATAAGAAATAAGATAAAAAGTTAAAACTGTGTAAAGTAATGGTTGCGTTCATGCTCATGAAAATAAGAAATAAGAATAAAGATTAACAATTTTTGGTTCTTATTCTTGCGTATAAAACTGCGCAAAGAACCAAAATGGGTCTGTGAATAATTTTGATGGGTTTTATGTGCTGGCCATGGAGCCATGGTGTTGGAAATCGCGTTGAGTGTCGCTGTCGATTGTTTACGTTTATAGCCAATATAATCCACTATAAAAAAATATAATTCTGTGACAACATTTTTTATTTCTTATGTTATCAGCATGAAATCGCGGTCTTATTTCTTATTCTTATTTCTTATTTTAAGTGAGCATGAATAGGTACGCCTTTAAGTAAACTTATATACGGCCCTAAATCAACAATTTTATTATTTTTTAGTACACCCATTAACCTTATTATGAGAGTTCCTTTTTTAGTAAATGAGTTGATACTTAACCCTTTTATCTTTAATCAAAAAACCTCCTAGGCTGTAAAAATAATTTAGGCCAATCAGGTAAAGTTTTTTCCTCCTAGTCTGTAAAAAACCCGTTTGGAATAATACAAAAAATTCTACTAGGTAAGTACTGTCAGATCTAATCCAACATTTCTACTTTTAATGGCTATTATAATTGTTTAACAAATTATTCCTTAAAGATAAAATGCCATGCGGCTGAAAAGTGTTTTTTTGGGCTTAGCTCAATTGTAGGCTTTCTCTACGCGTCAACATTCAAACTTTAAGCTTAGCACAAAAAGACGTACTTCTCAGCCTTATGACATAACTATTATCTTCAATCAAAAAACCTTCTTTGGGAATTCGCTCCTGACCTTTAACCTAAATGTTATATTTGAACTACTTATTTCATTATATTAACTTTAGTATATTTATAGTGATTATTAAAATTACCTTTAAACCCACATTAGTGAAGTGCACCGTAAGTTAAGACATTTTCATTCATATATAGGTAGTGTAAAAACAATAAACAATTGGTTGGACTTTGACCCCGCGTACTCTTGATCTGCGCGGAGCAGAACCGGCTTAGAAATTCGCAAAAATTATAATAAGTGATCGCAAAGACCGCCAAAGATCGCAACAACCATTATACTTAAATGCAGTTACTACCTATAAACATCATTTCTCAACAAAATATTACATATATGCAACACGTATAACTAATAATCGCATCTGTTTATATCTTTTAAATACAACAATCTTTGACAGACTAGTAAATATCCATAAATTTATTAAAATTAACAACAAAATTTAAATCGGAAGACTTATAAGCAGCTAGCCTCGTATCAAAAATCTGGTAGGGACCTTTATACGGGGTCCCCACCAACACAAATCAACCTAGAATCTAACAAAACCCTCATCAATGAACAAACAACTCTTTCAAAAAATCAGCTTAAAATACCAAATAATCCAATAATCGATAAAGAAAATCAAACACAACCAACAGACTCTCCAGACATAAATTCTTCACAAAATCAAGAAATTATTTTTTCAAAATCTACGCAATCTTTAACCAAAAAATGAAATCGACCCCACTTGATATACCCGCAATAACTCCTACCAATAAAAGATCAGTTGGAAACCCTCACACCGTCCTCTAATCTTAACTACACTTCTTTCTAAAAAATTCCTTTAGTTCCCAATTTCCCTAATGAATACGTAGAAGATATAAGCTCCCTAAACACTCAATTTCATTTATGAAAACTTGGATAACAATGTAGTAAAAACAGAATAACCAGACTTAAAAAGAAACTGTTTACTAAAGAATCTTACATATCTGCTGAAGAAAGTAACAGTTCATTATCCCAAGCCGAACAAACTTCATCCTCAAAATAATGTCCAACAATAATAAAAAATTCATCTTACAGTGGAACATAAAAGGCTATTGCACTCACATTGAATGGCTCAATTTGCTAATAAAAGAACAATGTCCATTACTAATCTGTCTACAAGAAACCCGTTTTATATCGGGCAAAGAAATATCAGTTCTACACATTTGTAATATTTATATTCCACACCCAAAAAATATTAACTTCCAAGATATTAACGACGTTATTGAACAAATACCAACGCCAAAAATAATTGTAGGAGATATGAACTGTCGTAATGCGATTTGGGGATCTAATAATACAGATCAAGCTGAGAAAAAATACTGGAAAAAAACCACTTAGACCTAGCACTACTAAAACCAGGAGAATATACTAGTTTTAATGCTTAAAATGGTACCTTTTCCTGTATTGATATAGCCATATCAATAACAGTCATTGGGTGCTAAATCAGGGCAGTACGGCGGATGACCCATTAATTCGACCTTTTCAGTCCTCAAAAAGTCTATTGTTTGAGCGGATTGTCATGGCGAAGAATGATCGGTCTTCTTAAAGATTTACAGGTTTTGGTAGTATTGGTATTGCAGCGAGTACCGCTCTGGATCTCGGAATGATGACTCATCGCCGATGAGTCATCGCCGGTGAGTCATCGCCGGTGAGTCATCGCCGGTGAGTCATCGCCGGTGAGTCATCGCCGGTGAGTCATCGCCGGTGAGTCATCGCCGGTGAGTCATCGCCGGTGAGTCATCGCCGGTGAGTCATCGCCGGTGAGTCATCGCCGGTGAGTCATCGCCGGTGAGTCATCGCCGGTGAGTCATCGCCGGTGAGTCATCGCCGGTGAGTCAGCGATCGAGAGCGGTCCGGAGCTCGCTCGCTTCAGGAAGGCACGTAGGCACTGAATATATAAGGAACAGCGCAGCATGGAGCAGTCAGTCAAGCTTTGTTACTCGCGACGAAATAAAATAAATATACGTGCAAATAAATAGACTCTTGTACAGTAGTGTTATATAAATAATTAGTAGTTAAGTGTTTAGTTAGTTTCTTAGTGTTTTCAACAATTAATTACAAAATTAAGTTATAAAATAAATCGTTTAGTTCGTTAATAAACCAGTGCAGTGCGTGTTTTAATTCACACTACGAACAGTAAAAACGTTACAATTGGTGTCAGGAGTGCGGTTAGTTTGAAATTTCGCGAAAATGGTTTTGTTAATGGACTTTAAGCGGGAGTTAGAAGAAAGGGAATGTGATGATACAACTGGAAAAAAGAATGTGTTGCAGCAGCGGCTTCGAGAAGCGTTGGTACATGAGGGTGAGAATCCAGATACGTATTTATTTGAAGGCCCGTGTGATTTAATGTTGCAAAATTTGAAAAGCGATTTAAAACAGAAAATGTTAGAAAATTCTAGCGATTTGAAAATCGATTTACAACAGAAGATTTTGGAAAATGTCAACGATTTAAAGGATGATTTGCAACAGAAAATGCTGGAAAATTCTAGCGATGTACAACAGAGAATTTTGGAAAATTCTAAGGAATTCAAAGTCGATTTACAACAGAAAATGCTGGTAAATTCTAGCGAATTACAGCAGAAAATTCTGGAAAATTCAAAAAATTTGAAAGAATTTTTGGAACAGAAGATTCTAGATAATGTCAATGAATCAGAAGAGAAAATGGGGAAAAAATTTGATGACGTAAGGATGGATTTAAAAGAGAACGTAAGGATGGAAGTAGAAGAGAAAGTAGGACATAAAGTTGTCGATGTAAGGATGGAATTAAATAACGTAAGGAGGGAATTGGATACGAGAGAAGAAAAATTGAACGAGAAATTGGAAGTCAAAATTAGAGAAATAAATAGTAAACTGAAAGCTGTAAATTTACCTATGATGCTGACGGACCAGGAGCAGTGCCGGAGGGAAGCCGAGTACGGATGAAACCACCTCAGTTGGATGGAAAATCTTCTTGGACAAATTAC